AAAAAAAAAAAAAGGGAAAACAAATCATAAATCTTTGTTAATCCAGAGGAAGATGCTTGTTGCTTTATCTCCTGTGACTGACATCAGCTGTTAAGGGCTTAAACATTTTCTCCTCCCCTAAAACTAAACCAAGAGAAAAGGTTCAACTGCCATGATGCAACCGAAGCTTCTGCTGTTCTGTTCTGAACTTCATGAACTATTATTCAGCATAGACTCTTACAAGAGGAATGGCAAGTACTTCTTTGAGTCTGTCCATTTTTTTTTGGGGGGGGGGGTCATCTTTTTTTACCCTTTTGTCTGAGTATAGATCTGTGTTTGTCCAATAATGTTTAAATTAGACATGTAAGCTGCGGTTCGCATATTTCGTTATTTCGGGATTCGGATCCAAAATTAATTTCGGTTCGGGTTTCAGATTCGGATGAAATCTGAACTTCATTAGTTTCGGATGAGTTTACGAATATTCGCTGCGAGTTAAACAGAAATCCATATACGGGATCCGAATGTTCAAATTGCATTAGTGAGTTCCCGAATGCTATTGAGGTCTGGGAGCCTCAGCTTTAGTAATATATGTATATGGCTCCAAGTCCCGAATGGCATTCGGGTTCCAAATTTCTGAAATGCATTTGTTCAGACCCATTCGGATGCATTAAATCAGAAAAGTCCAAAAAAGTCACATGTCTGAATCAGTTTAGTTTTTGAACGAAATTCGGATGGGATCTGAAATTCGGAAACCGAAATTTGGATTTGGACACTTTCAGATGCATTGGTATTTTTTGAATCGGAATGAAACAAATCGCACATGTCTAGTTTGAATTCACTTACAGTTTTCTGACTTACTACCGCTGCTGGAAGTCTGTTCCTAACATCTACTTCTCTTTTGGTAAAAAAAATTAATACTTTATACGGTTTGGAACCTTCATCCTGCTACTTGGAGGTCATGTGTCACGCTCGCCTATTTAGAGGAGGTCTGTTTAGCGGATCACAACTGCGGAAGTGGAGTTGTAGGGGTTTAGGACGGGAATCAGGACGCAACTCTTTC